TTGCAGAAGGAGGCTCCCTCCGGGATATGGGGCTCGACAAGCACCTCCCGCCCATCTTTCAGCAGGCGCTGTGCTAGCAGCCGCATCACAAGATTGTGGCGCCAAACACGGGCATGGTGCGTCAGATGGCAGCACTGGAGAATATGGAACAAGGTCTCTCGCTGGCCGCATTCACCTCGACACAACACGTCCTCACGACCTGTCCTACGGGACCTGCGGGCTTTGGTAGAGAGGACACCCGCCCGAAGTTGGATGCCTCGCAAGAACAACCAAGGAAAAACCCGAACAGGGGAGGAGAGCCAATGATTGGCACAGGTGGAGTTCGCAAAGTGAAGGAGGGGTCTGCCGTCAGCGGACTCATAGAGAGACGTTCTCCAGTATTCTTTGGCGTCCAATTTGCTGGCCAAGACAGTTTGACCCAGGCGAACCGGTTGAGCAGCCATTCTCATTCCAGGCAGAGCCGAAGGAACAGTCGCAGCCGCTCGTACTGCAGGCTCCTGCGAAGAGAGCACGGAGTCCAGCCGCCGTTTCTTTGCAAATGGAACCATTACTGCCAAACAAGGGACACCAATACCACCGTCCCGAACAGCCGCATGGAGGAAGGATGTCGGCGTGTCAGTAGGAAGCCGTAACCAGAGCCTCACAGCTTGCCGAATTTGGACGTCAAGCCGCTTGAGCGTGTTACGATGAACAGCCCCAAGGACCAGTTCGTGCAGAAGTTTCGGCACGCAATGTTGCTTCAGGAGCGAGAGGCGCTGCTGTGGTTTGAGGGGTGCTTTTGTGACCTCCTGCAACATGTTATAGAGAACAGAATGGTGGCTTACTGTCACCTTCCCGCGGTACGAAAAGGGCACCCCCAAATACTTGAAGGTATCCGTGGGTCCTAATGAGCGCAAAGCACTCCCCCCGATAGACACATCACAGGGGCGGAGGCAGGCACTTTTCTCCTTACCTAGTGCTTGGACATAAAAGGCCACACACTTGGCGGAGTTGAGGACCATACCGGCATGGGAAAGGCCATTAGCCAGACCATCCAGTCTCTGCTGGAGGCGTTGAGGCGATTCAGCAAACAGCACGAGGTCATCCGCATAGGCGATGCAGTCGACCGTGACTCCATCCATCTCAAAGCCGAGCTGTCGATCAGAATAGGAGAGAGCTTCAGAGAGAGCACAAGTGAAGAGAAGAGGAGAAAGGGGATCGCCCTGTCGTACACCGCGCAAGCAGCGCACTTCAGTGCCTAGGATATAAGTGGAGGTACGAGAGTAGGAAGAAGCGAGAAGAGTTAGAAGGGGAGGTGGAGCTCCATGGGCAGCGGCAGCTCTTAAGAGCGTACCATGGTTCACGGAATCAAAGGCCTTTGCAACATCCAACACAGCCACAGCAATGGATCTAGGAGCCGAGACCGCATGCCGTAACATCCCGTGAAGTAATGCCGTCGCCTCTGCCGTCCCATCACGTTCCTGAAAACCAAACTGGAACCGCGAGGTAGGGCAGTGGCGTGACCACCTTTGAGCAAGTATACGAGTGAGTAAGCGAGGGAGGACGTTGGAGACCGCTATAGGGCGGAACTCCGAAGGAGATTTTGGTGACCGAGCCTTTGGAACCAAGGTGGTTCGACAAATGCAATGCTGGGCTGGCATATGACACGTAGCCAGAATAACATTCAAATAACCAGCAATTGCAGATGGAGGCCAGCGCAGCAGATCCTTAGCCGACAGCCCATCGATGCCCGCTGCAGAGTCCTGCATAAGGCGGAGGTTACGAGTAACCTCAGTAGGGCTAATAGGGTCTAAGATTGCCCAGGCTACAGTAGCTGGAGTTATGGTGGGCCGCGGGTCCGGGTTGCTAGGGCGCTCAGTGAGCTCCCTCCAAAATTCAAACATCCCAGGCGGCAGCGGCGATTCAGGGCAGGGGGCAGTCCGCCAATCACCGGACAGCACAAATTGAGCCCCCGCCTTGAAATTTTTAGCAAGACGAGCTTGCACCTCCGCATACTGAGCACGGCGTCTGCTACGACCATTGAGTGGCCGCGCTTTAGCAACTGGCCGCCGATGCACTCCCGGACTCCAGCGCTTGGGAAACACTGACAACGCATGAGAGTCTAGTCGCGCACCAGCTTCAGACAGCCGGTCCTCATCCATGAGCAGATCCAGCGCAAGGGACAGAAGTTCCTCGGTCGCTAGTCCCGCACACGGCGACTCCGCCAACAACTCAACCGCGGAGTGAAGGAGCGAGTCCCGGTAAGCCTGATTTTGGCTCTGTTCGATCACCGGAGCAGTAGGATTAGAATAGGAAGTAGTTGGAGTAGGATCGACAGGTAGCACAAGAGCTGGAGGAGCCAACAGCGGCTCCTGCCCGTGCAGACTTCTCAGCCGGCTATACAAAGCCTCTTCGCTGCGCGTGGGGAACTTAAC